TGTATATGTATGTAAGAAAGGGGGAGGGGGACTCACTAAAATCGCTCAACTTTTCGGCTTTTAGTCCGGGCTGAGTCCTGTCTTCTCCGCCTAGAGTAACCTCGTAATGGCATAGGGGAGCCTAAAATTCCTAACAATGGAAATGAAGAAGAAAACGACTCGATCACTGGGACAATACTTTTATTCGCCTGACGTTTCGACATCCGTCGCGGATTAGTCATCAGAAACATTATCAGAAAACGGACCCGTTTCTGCTACCAATGGAAATACAATTGCACAGGCCAGACGTAAATGCGTACTTGTTCTGTCTACAAAGCCTTGATCTGTTTCGCCTAGTCTTCTGAATACCCTGGAGGGGATTTGGCATCTCTTGATGATGGTTGAATGCACCAGTTAATCACCCTTGCTCTCTGTTTGCTAAAACTCGCCCATACGAAAAAAAAAACGACGTCCTTTATTTCGAATAAAAATGTATTTTTTTTCCTCCCTGCACTTTTATTTCCCTTTCAGCTACCTGGTGACTCCAATGCTGGCTGTCGACCTCCGAGCGATTATTTCCTGTCAAGACCTCACGGATGACCACATCTGCTTTTTGGTTTACCAAATGCTTCGCGGTCTCAAGGTACGTAAGGGCAACCCGTAAAGGTGTCCTAGCACGGATACTGGCCACTTGAAAGTAATCGGTTGGCCGTCTATGACCCATACGGTATTGGCTTGAGATTCGGAAAATAATAACAAAAAAGTTTTAAAAATACTGATTGTCCTAGAGGGCTCTCTATTAAGCCTCAAGGTACAGCGGCACTAGCCTGTTCAACCTATGAACGTGTTTTTTCTTGATAGGGAATATTCCTAATCGCAGCCGAAAGGAAAAGCAGCCCGTGGCCAGAGCCCTGCACCTTCTAACGCTCAGTAGCCAAACAAACCGGATTCGAATCCCAGTTTGTTCACACCCAGGGTCGTGCATGACCAGTTGGTGACGAATAATGAGACAGATCTGGCCATCGCCGTCTTCGGTGTCTTTTTTAGTGCTCCTTATGGATAAGTCCTGGTGGCTATGCAACTTCCTACAGTGCTCTAGATGAGCCCATCTAACCTCAGGCTACCGATCAGCTATGCTATGGCCTGTTGCTGGCGGTGGTGGAGAGAGTGAGGTCGACCCTCAGCGCATTTCTTTCCTTACTAAAAACAATCTGATGCGCTTGAAGCATTCAAGGTGCGCTAAAAGCCGTGGCTTGGAGGTTTGTCTACTGACGGGATAAGTTGTACACCGCAGTCGGTCCGGCAGTCCCAGCTTAGATTCGAGAGGGAGAGAAAGACAAATACATCGATGATTCGCTTTGAAGAATTAAGGGCATTTGACTGGTTTAACTAAGTTTGACAACTGGTGTCAGCATTATGTTACTTGTGAAGTTGTTCGTGGGAGTACTTTCCAGCCCTAAGACTTTTTTTGGACAGACAGACCACTGCTGTTGGCTCCGCCGTCTACTCGCTAGTCGGCTTATCACGACTACGTTTTTCGCCAGTCTAAGGTCTATGGATATTCTTAATCTTGGCAGATTTGTCGCAGTTAGTAGTGTCGACCATGGAGAAGGTAGCCCAAATCACTAGTCACGTAAGACAGAATTGAAAGGAACAGTTTTACTGAGGAAAAATAATTGCACA